GAATAGACAATTGCTCTTATAAAAAGCTAAGATTTTTTTAAAGCTTTAAAAAAATATATATCTTCTTGTTTCCAAAATATTTTATATTAATATAAGTAAATGTGTTATTTTTTTTTAGTACTCACTAAATAAATATTATTTGATTTCTTAGATATTCAGTATACCACATATTGATCGGGTAAATCCGATAGGTGTGAATGCGTTAATAAACCGTCTCATATAATAAAAATACTCTGGACTCTCTGTGTGTGTTATAATATTTATTGCTCGCCGAATTTTTTCATCACTCAATCGTTGATATGAAGTGCAAACACTACTATAAATTGAAGAGACATCAACGCATGGTTTGTCGTTGGTTCCGAGCACGAATTTCAATCGAAAACGTCTTATGGAAAAGACCGTAAACAAGTCAATAGAGAATGCGAGACAGAAAGGGAAGTTTTGGCGCATGCATAACGTAGGTAAAGAAACTTCGACTTGATTTAGATCGATAAATACTGCACTTGATTTTGAATTTATTATAAAATTCATTATATTTAAATTTATTTATTATAAAGATTTTATATATTACATGTACTTTTTCAAAATAGCAAAAGAAAGAGGAAACAATTTGTTTATATTACACGGTTCTTTTTCGTGAATTAAGATGAATGAAAATTGGAACGTGTTCGTCTCTGCATGCATAAAAATGGAAATTTTGGAATTCATAAATCGATAATGTGGGAATTTTCAAGTGATAAAAAAATGTAAATAATAAACGAAGAAGAATTATAAATAATAAACGAATTAGATCTGTTAATTTTTTTCAAGAGACACATTTGTTGTCCCTTGTAGCTGAAAGGGTTAAGAGTGAAGTCAGCGAGACGCGCGGTTGAGAAGGTAGGCCGAATGGAGAAACTCGCTGTTTATTGATCCCAAGGGGCTGACCAGCGGTCAATGAGATACGGTCTTTCCCTCTTGCTCGCCACCCTCCTGCAACGGCCTCCTTAACGGAAGTAGGAATCGCCGCCGTGCCTTCTACTTCGTGATTCATGCGTTTCCCAGGTGTTCTGAGTGAACGAAGAAAGCGCTGGTCGATGGTGAAGTCAGCGAGGGGTAAATTCGAGGGGTAAATTCACCGGCGGACCAGATTTTTCCAGGATCGATCCCCTTTTTTACGGGAAAGACCATTTTTCACTGAGCACTGGTCAGTTCATTAAGAAAATCGATAAACGGTGAGTTTCTTCGCTAAGCTTATTCTCAGCCTTGGAATCTTATGAATAGACTCACAGGTTCTGTACATTTTCAAATATTTCCGAGTCTTACGGCAACTATACAAACTATACAAACTGTGCGCTTGATATTGGCTCTGTTTCTTCCATGGTATAAGAAATGTAATTGATGGCTCATAATGTGAAATCCTAAATGACGTCATTTAGAAATACAATAGGTTTACTCTTCCATAGGTGGGCGAGCTTTGCGAGCGGCTCGAGCTTCTCGTTGCACTTCGCGTTCCACGGATTGCAACTCCCGTTCGTACGACGCAATAGTGAGTCGTTTGACTGTAATTGGGTCACCAATAACACGACAAGCACGACACGCGAGAGAAAAGTAATATCGCGTCGCAAAGAAGGTGAACGAACATATAATAAAAATCTAATTAATGGCACGAAAATTCTTATCGCAATGTGAAGTGTAAGGACACGTATCACGTCAGCGTGTCAGAGTTGATGATAATGAAAGTGCATAAGAAAGGGATGAAACACGCTATCTTGTGGGAAGCACTAATTAAAGACGTGATTTAATGACGCAATCAACGTTGAAATTATGTATTTTTACAATGTTTCTTGTAAAAAAATAGACTATACTGAAATTGTGGTATAAATTATTATAGAAATGTTATAAATTATTGTGAATAAATTATTACAAAAGTATTATAGAAATTATTATAGAAATTATTATATTAATAATAATAGAAATAATAAATTTGGCGTTCTACCTAATGTAAAAAATCATCCAAGAAATTATAATTACTTTACTAGTAAATTATTTTAAAGTAAAGCCAAACGTACGTGTGTAACATTTTCAAACAAATATCTAGTATCTTCGATTATAATTTTTCTGGTCCAAGATTGCAAAATTTTGTTGTAACTTTTACTACACAATATTACAATATTTTCATATAGCAATTATTTGCTGCATTATCATTTCTATGATATGAGACATTAATGATTTCTGAGTTCACAAGCAACAATGTAAAAAATTGTCTGCAAATTGAGCAGATCGACTTAAAGGTTTATTTAATCTTAAGCAATTAAATTTTAGCAGATGATAGAAATGAATCTAAAACGAAAAAAGAGAGAGAGAGAGAGAGAGAGAGAGAGAGAGAGAGAGAGAGAGAGAGAGAGAGAAAGGGGAAGGCGGAGAGTCGAAGTCGAGAACGGAAAGTCTTAGCGAAGGGAGGCGAAAAGCAAAGTGAAAGAAAGAATAAGCGCGATGTCTCCGCGCAAACTCACCCCCACCAAAAGCAAGCAACCCTTTAACGTCCCCTTCACGCCTTCCCCACTCTCGCTGTTTCTCTCCTTCGCACTTGGTTTCTGTCGTTTCAATGAATAAATTATTTCCCCTCCACTTATCCCCCTTTCTCTCCATCGGAAATTCTCAAGCGCACGAAACCATGAAGCCACGTGCTTTTGGTAAACAATGGCAAGATCGTGATTGTGTGCAGTCAATAGGAATATTAGGATTCTTCATTTACATTGCCACTTATGTTTACTTATGTTTACTTCTTTCTTTAAAGAGAAATTTTAGCATTTTAGAATTTTAAGATAAATCATTATCTACGTCTATTCATTAATTATTTTGTTCAAGAAAGGTGAGAGTTCTATCGAAAATATCTGCTATGATATATTCGAAAAATAGAAGTAGGTGCACACCAGACATCCTTAACATCCTTAACATTATAATTGAGACAATTTTTAATGTTACACATATTTGCATAAGGTTGAAAATCGTGGGAAACCGTGGAAAATAAATGTCAAATAAGATCTATATGATGCCTAATGTACGGCTTGTCGCAATTTACAGTTAGACATTTTTCATGTAATAAATATATAATTCTCAATAATGTAATATAATGCAATAAATAATGTAATAAATATATAATTTATTTTTCATATAATAAATATATATAAAAGATAATATTTACTGAGAGAAAGATATGCGTTGTGTCCCTAAATAACTATTGATTTCGGTAGTATTTTGGGTGGACGAATTATACAGTATACCTATACTTCGAAAGCATTCAGGCTTTCCTGGCTAATGCGATAAGATTGGTCGCACCTTCAATGCAGAAATCAGAGTGAGCATGAAACGGAAGGGCGTGGGCCATAATACGAAATGACGTAAATGGAATCGTTCCATCATGCATTGGCCCAGTAACCCTAACGAACAATCTGGATGATGATGCGTTCTGAACAATCTTTTAGTAATAAGGGAAAAATCTATAGCGAAAGATTCCCGTAATATCATTGCAAAATCAAGTGTATTGTTTTTAAACGCATATAATTTAGCTGAAGCTCTTTTACACGTTTCTTGCGATTTTAAATCATGTCATTTAATACACGTTTAAGACGTTAAATTATAATGTAATACATCTCAATACCTGTTAAATGACGTGATTAAAAACAGTAAGAAACATGCAAAAAGAGATTCAACCAAAATAACACACTTGGATTTGCTGTGATGAGAACAGTTTCGGACGTCATTACGGACATACCAAAAGAGATGGCTTGCCAACCTAATTACTGTCTCGTATAAAGATTCAAGAGGACAAATATGAGTTATGTGAATTTTTTGGGAAAAAATGTAACAGCACGGTTTATCATGTTACTGCTAAATGTCCACAGGAATTTTATAGATTTTTTTACGTGAAAGGCTTTAAAGGGGTTGCGATATGGTGATTTATAAGAAAGCTGCGTATAATAATGCCGACAACGATGACGATGTGGTGTATCTGGCCCAGATCAGTTCTTAAAGCAGGCCGCACGCAACGCGCGATTGTATTTGCTCCACCCCCCTTCCGCCCCTCTCCTTAACACCTCGACGATCTACATAAGAATCTTAACCTGGTCACTCTTGACCCATATGTGATGGAATGCCAATTATCCGAAATATATAATAAGGAGAAAGACATTTTCGACAAATGAATTTCTACAAGCGCGACAATCGTACGGATATTAATTCTAACACCTGAAAATCTCACGAATTTATGAATTGTTGAATCTAAAATTAGAATTGTGCCAGAATACACATGTGGATGTTCACATTTGAGAAATTAAACATATTAAATATGTATACAAGACATTCTGGACAACAAAGTTAATAAGTTTGTTTATATATTGTTTGCAGTACACACGCATACTTGTTACTTTTCACGAAATTAAAACGGCGATATTAATCTGCTACTTATATCTGTTATAAAAAAATTATATTTTGTGAAATTGTATTTTTGTTACTAAAGTAATATATATAAGTATAAAATTATACTTGTTACCTGGGTAGATCACAGAAAAAGGAAACGTGAATATGTTCGTTCGCGATGGGGTCGGTTGCCCCTTAAAGAAGACCAGTGTTTACACAGTCAGTCAAGTTCATGAATATCGAGATTGCTAGCACGCCCTCGCGTGATTAACACTTTCGCTATCTCTTTAATTCTTAATCCAGCAGTACTCGCATCTTTCTTTCTTGCTCTTTTTTTTCAAGAACAATTCATTAAAAATCATATACAACAGATCTTATTTGAACTTTTTAATATATTTTCTACGTCCTTCTAGCCTCGAAGCCTCGAATGAAGATTTAAAATATCATTAGATATTTTATAATATGAGAGATACTTTGTCTTCTTTTAAATTTCAACACTTTTATCGATTCTAAATGAATTGAAAATCCCATTATAGGTATATTGGAAGTGATTCATTTTAAATTTATCATTGTCGATAATACTGACGCAGGTCACTTACCTTGAATGTTTTGTAGCTAGACACTACGTAGGAGGCGCCGTCCTCAAGTTCGTCGAGACTGATTTTCCGGTCGCCATCCATCGAGAAGATATGACGCGCGCCCCTTGGTAAATCCAGCCGCAGGGACAGCCGGTCCAAGAGAGCCTCCAGCGAGCCAATATCGCGGCCAGGCTTGAATCTAAAAAGTTATTATGATACGTATCATTATATTACATACACTAAGTGTACTAACGAATGACTGACACAAATAAATAAACAAGTGCTTCCAGAATTACAAAATTACAAGCGTTATGCGATTTTTTGATATGCTAGAAGTAAAACCTTAGCGAAATTTAGAATTTTGAAGTAATAATAATGGTCATAATAGTTTTTAGTGTCAATAAATTCGATGTAACTTTTCGATTGTGCGTTGCTAATTTCTATCGCACACGATAGAAGAAATTCTCGTGAACGCGTCTCTACCGAAAACGAACGATTTTGGGCACTCTGTGAAAAGGACATGGTGGTGACAGCAATGTAGAGTTAATATATAATATATACGTTACAATTCTCTACAAAGTTCGTACAGTTATCACCTGTGTGGTTGCTGTCGCCATCGTCTTTCTCAGAGTGTGGTAATTCGATGTTTTCAAGTTCTCACGGAAACGCACACAAGATAATCGCGAGTCAACAGTGGTTTTCTTGGAAAAAGCCGCGGTCCTCTTACCTGAATTCCACGCCGGGGAAGTAGGGGTCGCCATTTTTGTAGAAAGTGACTCTTCTCGCCCGCCAGTAGCCGAGGTTGTTGTATCTCGCGCCGGTAGGCTCGTGCTGCCGGCTCTTGGGCCTCGGCTGCTCCGACTGCTCCGGAGGCGGCATGCGGGGACTGGAGGGTCTACTTTGCCTCCAGTAGCCGGCCATGCCGCCTCCACCCCCACCTTCACCCGCCAACATACCCCCGATCTCCTCCCGCGCCGCAGTCGTCACACCCTCCACCGCGATTCCACCCTCCTCGTCGTCTTCCTCCTCTTCCTCCTCTTCCTCGGCGTCTTCCTCTTCGTCCTCGTCCTCGTCGTCCACCCCCGGCATCGGCGGCGCCGCCGTCGGGGGCGTCGGCGTTGCGGCGCCGCCCTCCTGCTCCTCTTTTTTCATCGCGGTACCTTCGAGTGAAAAGGAAGGAGGGAGTCAAGAGGGTCGTGAGAGGGCTGTTTGATAAGCGACTTCTCCGGAGTGACGTGTGCCCCGAAAATTACGAATTACAATGGAAATGTGAATTAAGGTGAAGTGTAACAACGGTAACTGACTTTATATCAATTTGCGTTGCACATATGGGAAGAACACAATTTTGCACTAAAAACTCGACTCATTATCATCATAAATTATAAAGCCTGATGTGCTCTTTGCTTCCTGTTTCTTGTTCTCTATCTTTTTTTAGTTTAAGGTTTAAGTCAGAAAGAGATAGAAGGAACAGAATGCAAACAGCATATTGTAGATCAAGCTTAAGAGAGCTTTTCCAGGATGCTGTGCAATTATTATGTCAAACTCATTTCTTTCATGGAATTTCTTAAGAGACAAAATCAAAATCGATATTTAAATCGACTGCACTTGCAATATAGTTTCAACAATAACAGTTTATTTAATAAGATAGAAAATGAAAGAACATATTACGTATGAAGTATATACAAGGTGTCTCAGATTTGTTTCGTGAGAACGTAGAATGAGGCGAACATAAAAATCCTATACCGTTTTGCGATATTCGCAATAAATCTCTACATATTAATTAAAAGAGATTAGTGAATGATCACGCGCGATATTGTGGATGAGCTGTGGCAGATGCTGTCGTGTGCTTGTACATTGCTTCAAACTGCATAAAAGAGTCCCTTATCATCTTATAAATACCACGTAGATTTGTACTTATTAACAAAAGGAAATTGTCACAACAATTGTGCACAAATCTTCTTCAATTAATACCTGAAAATCTATCGTCACTTGTAAAATGGTACAAGACTTTTTTGTTCAATTTGACTTAATGTATATAAGTACACAACAGCCCATATAGCACAAATCTCTAAAAGAGATTCTTATAGAGTTCCCAAGTGCTCCAGAACACTTTTAGAATTCTTTAAGAAGTCTTTTAGAAATTTGTGTTATGTGGGAGTAGACAGTGCCACTGCAACTTATCTACCCACATCGCGCATGATCATTTACCAATCTGTAATTAATATCTTGAGACTTGTTGTGAATTCCAAACTTGAGACTTGTTGTGATTGAATTTTCTCTTTTCACTCGATTCTTTATTCTTTACTTTTTTGTTTATTCTACATGAATAAAAGGATTTAGATTTAAGTAGATATACACTGAGAAAAATATACTTGAAAATTTATTGATGGAATATAAAGTTTATTCACGAAAATAAACTTTATTTCACCGAAGTAGATTTTATATCCCACAAATAAATTTTCTTTTGCAGCCAGAAAAATAATAATTGCTCTATTCGATCGGTTAATCAAGAGGATCGTTCGGAATTGCAAAACGATGTAGGAACGATTTTTCATGTTCATCTTGATCCGTTCTACGTTCTCACGAGTGTTGTGAAAAATCTGAGACACCCTGTATATATTGGAAATTATATATATCCGTAAACTATGAAAAAGATATATTTTTTCCATTATGTCAACTGGAAACTTTGTTCAGTTGACAATGCAAATAGAATCTCGATAGTTATCCTATCACGGGATGACGGACTTCTCACCTGCGTTCTCCAGTGTCGTCGCGTCCACGGCGGCTGCACTACCCCCGTTGCCGCCGGTCCCGTTGCCGCCACCCCCGTTGCCGTTAGTTATCGTCGCTGCCGCCTCCTCGTACTGCCCCAGTCCGGAGCCGGCACGCGAGCCCAACTGATTTTCAGTCGCGATCATCCGCGCGAGGCCGCCGCCACTTCCAGCGCGTTCCCACTTGGTTCGCGTTTTTACGTTTATGGGAAAGAATTCAGATGGATTTGCGGAGAGGGGAGCCTGGAAGTTATCGGATTGATAACTTCTACGAAGCTCAGAAAAATCCTATTCCTGAAATGTCATGACAAATCAATAAGAACTACACGGTTACATGTTAAAGAATCGAGGTGATCTTTAAATTCATTTTCTCCCTTCACTCGATCTTTATTCTTTACTTTTTTTTTTGTTTATTCTATATGAATAAAAGGATTTAGATTTAAGTAGATATATACTGAAAAAAAATACTTGAAAATTTATTGGTGGGATATAAAGTTTATTCACGAAACTAAACTTTATTTCACCGAAGTAGATTTTATATCCCACAAATGAATTTTCGTTTGCTGCCAGAAAAATAATAATTGCTCTGTTCGGTCGATTAAGAGGATCGTTTGGAAGTACAATTTAGAATGAAATCTGTTCGTATATTCAAAGATTCTGCTATTTAATTATATTACAATAACTTCAGAAATATAAATGGGTGGACAATTGTCTGAAGTTCTTTCATTTACTGCAGAAATTGAGGAAGATTGTAGAAACCTCGAATTAAATAAAAATTGAAAGCAAATAAAAAGAGAGAGAGAGATAGAGAGAGAGAGTATCTTTACATATATGCTTTGCACAATATTACGAAACCCTATCTTTTGTTTTTATTTTACAGTCGTGTTATCATCACGCTACGTGAATCACTATGGAAATTAAAGAATGTTTCGCTCCGTATTCCCGGCGTGTTGTACTTAAATTACCTGGGAAATTAGACTGATTGCATTGTTTCTATGTGTGCTCCTGTCTGTGTGTATGTGTGTGTGTGTGTGTACGAACGGAGCGTTATGTTATTTGACATCTCAAGGTTCTTTACACCCGCAATGGCATAGTTTCGTCACTTTCAATCGAATGTTACTGTAAATATTTATGTTACTTTAACGTTAAATTATTAAAACAGTCAGCACATATTACTGATGCTTTACGAAAAAAACTGAGAATTAATTGAATGGCTATATTGAGAAAAAAATACTAAAGAAAAAAAAATTTTATTCAATGAATGCCAATAATATATTTACTTATACTAATATAAAATATTTTTCAAATAAAGAAATATACGTTTTTTATTCTTAATTTTTTGTAAGCCATTGTTTATTCTATTTAAATATACATATAAAAGAATTTAGATTTAAATAAAAATATGCACTGAGAAAAGAAATTCGTCGAAATTTATTAGTGAGATATAAAGCTTCTTTGTAGAAACAAACTTTATTTCATAGAAGTAAACTTTATGTTCTACAAATAAATTTTCAAGTATTTTTTTATTTCTCAGTATACTCACTGAAAAAATATTTTTTTACTTTGTTAAATATTTCTTTCTCTCAGTGTACAAAGTTAAAAGAATTACTGCAAGTTGACCATACGTGTCGCATGATTGTTAAGGATTCCCGATCGATCATACGACGCAAGGTAATTAAGCTGTAGTAACGCTTCTCTTCGACCGGCCGGCCGGCCGAGTACACTTTTATCTTACAAGCGCAACCGCCACTGCAGGTCCATCGATCAATCAGCTTGTGAGCTATTGTAGATGCATGAGATTTTGTCAAACTTCGTGATTTTGCACTTTCATGACTATGTATAATTGGAACGTATTATGTTTGTTTATTAATTCACAAAAGAAAAGGACGTTCTTGTTTGGAAAATGTTTTTTTTATTTTTGTGTTATCATGTTAATCTTTAAGTGAGATTAAATGAAACGTTATGTAATAATAAACGTATGAAAATAAGCCACTTGCAAGAATATATTTTACACCATTTTCAACGAAGAAAAATTTATGTTCTTATTATTTCAAAATAATTTTCATTAATGTGGAAAGTGAAAAACAACATCGACACTAACAGTAACAATATCACCTCAATTTATCCCCTTAGCATAACTAAACTATTTTAAAAGAATCCAATTTAATTCAATTAAAATCTATCACTACATTATTATTGTATTAAAATTTGTTAGAGTTCTTATTATGCGGTGTAAAACGGAAGAAGAGCGGGATATTACATGATTAGAGTATTGATATTTTCGCGCAATCACGCTTATCTCTTACAAGTCGTCGAATCCCATTCGAGTGCTTGTCTAATTTCACCCCCGGCCATCCACCGTTGTTCTTCGCATGCACGTCATGCGTGACACATCACCTCTCTTGAATGTAAAACAGCGCTAACTGCTTTTTACGATGATTTATGCGCTCGTTTCTCATCTTACGTTATTTAGAAACTAACCCTCCGCTTGACTAACCAACACGATCCATCAAAGCAGTAAATGATTCATCGAACAACACCGATACAAAACAGTAACAATATCACATCAGTTCTTCCCCTTGGCTCAATAAAGTTACTTCGAAAGATTTTAATTTATATTTTAATTTTATATTTAAATTTAAAAAAGTATATATATATATATATATATATATATATATATATATATATATATATATATTTTATATATAT